TCTACGGGAATGTGTCGTCAGCTAGGTGGAGAGCTCTACTAATTCCTACTAACAAATGTAACAGCGCACACAAACGCTCCAAAGGAAAAGGTTAGACACAATTGAAAGGAAGGGGGAGGAGGAGCGCCGCTGCTTGCCGTGGTAAAAGCAGTACAGAGCTCAGTGCGCGCACTGACAGCATGGCAGGAGACAGCGACAGCAAGTTGGACAATCAAGCCGAAAATGAGCATGTTGTCAGGCAGCCTTTCCTCATCGGGGTAGCCGGCGGCACTGCCAGCGGCAAGGTTGGCATTCTGCTTTCCCTTACATGAATTTTAGTTATCGCTTGTTTTATGTTTTGTCAGAGATGAGACGAGCGCACACTGACCGCGTGGCTCATTTTCATGGAATCATCAATGTGCACATTTATTTTATTCCCCGAGATGGTTTGACATGTCCGATGTAAAAACGGACATATAGACTTTTAGGATTTAAGGGGTGATCTAATTGACTAATTTATTTATTTAATTATTTTTAAATCAAGTTTAATCATTTAGATGGAACAAAACTAATAGTCATAGTATTTTTAAAACTGTTATACACGTACAGTGAGAATATATTATTAAGTACTTCGTTAGTGTGTGTCCCTTAAAAACAAGGATGTTGGTCATTTTCCTGATACAGACAGCTCCCACACACTTTCGCCATGCACTGTGGTGATGGTGGACTTACCAACTTATTAATAAGCATTTAATCAATACTACTATTTATCAAAATCCTCTAAATCCGTTTGCGAAATTTTGTTGTTAGAAAACAGCATGATACTTGCGCCGGGTAAATCGCCACAATGCCTCTGACATTCCATCAGATTCATTAAAATCCCATCAGCTGTCGAACACCCTAATTACTGCTTTACTTTAGCTAAATATACAACGTGTTGTGAGGAAAGTCTAACTTTGCGGTTATACGTGGATAAAACCTTGTCCGCGCCGGAGGATGTCTAGTGTATGCTAGGATAACAGTTATGATACAAGCACAAAGAACGGTCTCTTTGTTTCATGAGCTAACGGTGTGTTATGATATCAGAGAACGAGATAAAAGTTTATATATGTGTGTGTGTTTAGCGTTAAACCCGAACCACTACGGAATTTTGAGGATAAAGAGGAGTAATCGCGGAGCTTTTGTTGGTTAACGGTATTGGGGTCAGCGGCACAACGAATGTGTGTCACATCTTACCTCATTTACGTGCGTAAAGGCGACGTGCGTGCGTACGCACGCAGTGATGCGTCAAGACGGCTCATTCAGTGAAGCCTGTTATTGAAATATTTATAGATAATATGTTTGTGTAGTTTATTTAGAGTAGGGAAATAAATAATATACTGTTAAAAATAAACTGAAAAGTAAAAATGGTACAATAAAAATGGTTAAACTTACCACGCCATACCTGGTAACAACCTGGTTAATATTTATATATTTAATAATGTTTTATATCACATTTTATGTTTATATTTTATATTTAGCATATATTTATAGTATTAGTGCCATGTTTGTACAAGATTCTTTATATTTATATTATTTATTATGTTTATGTAATTATTGGCCATAGTTGCTGGAAAGGCCAATTATGATAAAGTTTAAGTCATCATGTGGAATACTATTGCATTTTTAAGTTTTCAGTTTATGTTTTACTGACCACTCTTAGTCGTTATTTAAAATGTCTCTGTGCATCATTTGTCTGTTCCTTTCTGTTTCCATTTGCTAATCTTGTTTGCTTATGTTATGACTGCTATATCTCCCAGCTGTCAGGTGTGCAAGTTTCTCTCTCTACCACATTGCTTGGAAGAAATGTGTTATCTAATTTCTCAGTGAAAATGCTTTGATTAGACTTTCTCAAGCTGTATGTTATCATTCATGTGGGCCTGTAGACACTCAGTGTTTTGTCCAGTGCTATGTTATGCTCTCGGTGTGCTGTTTAAGGACACCAGTTTGTTTACATCCTGAAATTGCTCGACCAAAGCAGATAACTGACTGAAGCAAGTGTTTCCTTTCTAAGTTTAATGCAGCCAGAAATGCTTTTGCGTTGATAACTTGCATCACAACCCAACCCACTATTGATGCACTTTAGGTAGCATTCGCATTACATTTCTAAACAGCAGCTTAGCTTGTTGGGTACACAAAAATACTTGGGAATGAATCCGGGGAATGTTTAGTCAGCAACAGCAGAAGCTGGTTTTTGGCTGTCCTGCAAGGTTAGTTTAGGGGCCGGTGACAGGCCAGGCTAGGAGAGATGCCCACCTCACTGCAGATCACTCATTACTGGGGACAATGGTTTCTTCCTCCTTCCTGCTGTAGGCTGTTATGAGTTTTACAAGTCTCTCAGCATCCTGCTGATGATTCAAAGGTAAATGATGGTCTTTCTATGCCTGTAGGCCATTTAGCATGTGAGCTGGATTAGTGGTTACTTTGGCTGGAGGTTGATAGACCGTGCGGCACAGACTGTACCAACAAATGTCAAAGAAGTGTTTCAGCTCTCGTTTTTGTTTCTTTCTGCAAGGCTTTAGCACAGTGGAAAAACATGTAATTATTATATAATATAAATTAGTTTGTTTTGGCGAAGCCAGTGTAAAATGAACCAAGATGAAATGCACTCTCAGCATGCATTGTGGCATGAATAAACTGGTTTTTGGCTGTCCTGCAAGGTTAGTTTAGGGGCCGGTGACAGGCCAGGCTAGGAGAGATGCCCACCTCACTGCAGATCACTCATTACTGGGGACAATGGTTTCTTCCTCCTTCCTGCTGTAGGCTGTTATGAGTTTTACAAGTCTCTCAGCATCCTGCTGATGATTCAAAGGTAAATGATGGTCTTTCTATGCCTGTAGGCCATTTAGCATGTGAGCTGGATTAGTGGTTACTTTGGCTGGAGGTTGATAGACCGTGCGGCACAGACTGTACCAACAAATGTCAAAGAAGTGTTTCAGCTCTCGTTTTTGTTTCTTTCTGCAAGGCTTTAGCACAGTGGAAAAACATGTAATTATTATATAATATAAATTCGTTTGTTTTGGCGAAGCCAGTGTAAAATGAACCAAGATGAAATGCACTCTCAGCATGCATTGCGGCATGAATAAACTGGTAACACTTTACAATAAGATCCTATTAGTCAAAACATTAACTAAAATTAACTAACAATGAGCAATTAATTTTTACAGTTATTAATTTCAGTTAATATTATTTTAAAAATACAGCTGTTCATTGTTAGTTCATGTCAGCTCAGGTCCATTAAATAATATTAAGATAACATTTTAGTAATGTATTAGTAAATACAATTTACATTTATTGCTAATTCATGTTGACTAATGAAGTTTTCTAATTTTAATAAATGGGACTTTATTGTACAGTGTTACCAGTAAATCATGCAAAATACTGCTTTACTGTTCATTGTTCAACATGCTGCTAGTCCATTTGACTTGCACATCAGTTGGTGACTTGGTGTTTTTAAATATGTGGTTGAGTGTCACCGTCATTATGGTATAAGGACCCGATATGTCAAATTGGTGTAACTTTGTGGTATTATAAAAACATTGTTTAGTTTTGTTTTTTGGCTGTTATACATTATTGTGGAGCATGTAAAAACTAAATGGAACAGAAACTCCATGCAATCCTTGTATTTGGGCTGTGATTATTATTTTGCATGTGACAGAAGATAGTATTATTTCCGTAACTCTTAAGTGAGAAATGCATTGTGTTTCGAAATATGTTACAGGCCTTGAAGCAAACCACTGGTTGTTTTTGCTTAACATATGCTTGGTGTGTATGTGTGTACTGTGTAGCTTCTTATAAGGGTCTGGGACAGCTTGGACTGTTTGTGGATTATGCTTTAAATGGATTGAGCGACTGGCAGGCAGCATTGCAGCTGGTGAAGGAAAGCTTTGTAAGACATTTAAGCACATACACATAGGTTAGATACAGCAGGGTTTCATCATATCCCTGCACTGCGGCCTGTCTTGTGCTCGTCTCTTTATTGGCATGTGGTTGACTCTTAACATGATCTGAACTCATCGCATGTGGTTTTCATTGTTGTTTTGTGGAGATATTCTTCCATAATAGTAGCTTTTACTAGTCTGTTTATATATCATACATCAAGTGATTGTGACAGTAAGTTTATTCAGTTTTTTTGGACTTTGTATAGGAATCCTTTCTGTGCTAAAGTGTTAATATTTGTCATATCATCATGATTGGGTCAGCTATATGGTACACCATAGACCTTGTAGATTTTAGTGCCGTTTCTCTCTCATCAGGGTGTGCCTCCGTCCTCCATATTGGTCAGCTATTACAGAGTATTGAGGGTGCCCATTAGTAGACTGTCTTTGGAAAATATAGGCTATCAGTTTTATGAAGGAAGTCAGTGTACCAGACATTGTCGAGCTGCAGAGAGGAGTAGAAATCTCTCCGTGACAATGTGAGCAAACCTGCTTATGTTCTTCATAACTGCTCATGGTTTGTGGGGGTTTTTTTGTACAAGGTGTGTCACCTGTGAGTATACTCCTTTTTCTTTGCTTTGTTTTTAATAGGCATATTTATTGTTACTGAAACAAGGCGTTAAGGGATTGAAGAAACACAGAAGACAGTATCTAAGTCCTTTTGTACGATCACAGAGCCAGTTCTGTTATGTAAAGTTCTGTGTTTATGCCTCGAGTGGGGGAGGTGTAATTTTGATTGTAACTATTTTGACTAGTCTTTCAGACATTTTTAGTGATATTTGTATTTTATGTATGTCGTTGTTTTATGTCATTCTTTTTTATATATATAAAACGCCATTGACAATACTCAGTCATAACATAGCTCTATGTGTTTAAATAGCCTACTAGTACTGTTCAGCATAAAACTGTATAAGTTCTTGGTTCATTCTTTGTTTGTCATGATGAAATTAATGATGTGTGGATCAGTAAGCGTGTTAGATTAATCCAACTGATTTGTTGCAAACTGAATTTCTTACATTTTATAAATGACTTTACATAAACTAAAAACAAAAAGCACAGAATGCATGTAATGTTTTGAAAGTATGGACACCTACAATGTAAAATTTTTAGCAGTTAATGTTGTAAATGTCACTTAAATATAATCTGGTGGTGTTTAATAAAAAAATCACACTTGAGTTAATTAATTTGAATGTAATAATATTAATTTGATAACACAACCAATGAGAGTTTTAGCATGTAATGAGTGAATTGTGTATTACACATTCAATTAAATGTCAGCCTTTTGTGAAAATGGTCAGCACTAGGGAATCTGTGTCGCAAAATATGCTTCCAAACGCAAAGGTAAGGTGCCGTATAGCCTTATTGTGTCCAATGCTGATGGTTTAAATTCATTTGGTTCATAATTCAAAAGTATATCATTGGGTCAGAAGACAATATAAAAATATTACAGTGAAAACTGAAGGAATTTTTTTTCCCCCTGATGAAACGCATGCTATTTTAAAAACAATTCTGCTGTTTTCCATACATTAAAATACAGGGCCATCACTGACATTGAATTTAGTCGCAACTTTGTTTGGCTCATTGTCATAAAAAATCATATTATTTGAATGCAGCCCTCATACATTTTTTTTAAATGACATCACTAGACTATCATGACGCAGTCTTTGGAAGAAGTGCCAAAACTGTCACTCTCAAAAAACGACGTGTTCTTTGTTCTTTGTTTTGTTTTTAATAGACATATTTAAAACAATATGCCTTGAACAGAACCAGGCACAATGAAAATCATTCAAATCTGTTATTTATTTTTATTTATTTTTTAAATAAGGACCAGCTTTTGGTTCCCTACCTGAGTATTCACCCACAGAAATTATACACTTGATCTTAAATCATCGCCCATTTTGTCATTATTTCACAGTTTGAATTGAGATTACTCACTGAAACGTGCTTTTAGAGCATATATGTACTCTACTACAATCCTGTCTTTTTTTGCAGTCATCAGTTTGTGGGAAGATCATGGAGCTTCTTGGCCAGAATAAGATCGACCATCATCAGAGGCAGGTGGCCATCCTCAGTCAGGATAGTTTCTACAGGGTACTGACCTCTGAACAGAAGGCCAAGGCTCTAAAAGGACAATTTAACTTTGACCACCCAGGTAAAAAGTCTGAAATGTTTATGTTGATATAATTTATTTTTTAATTAGATTTTTTTTTGTTCTTGACCTGATTTATAGTTCTTTATGTGTGCTTTTTTATTGCCAAACACCCCTGCCTATTGCAGTGTGTTATTATGAGCAGAATACAGATCAGACTGACCGTTGATGCAGTCTGTATATTTTGGCTGCTCTTTGTGAGTGTGTATGTGTGTGTGTTTGTCGGAGTGAGTGTTTGCCTGACTCAGCCACCCTCACACACACACACACACTCATTCTGCAGCAGCACAAGTGGCTTATCACCTTTTTGCTTGTTCTTGATTTCCCACGTCCTGTGGATCAAGAAACCTTAGAACAAATTCTGTGCTGTCTGTCTGATCCTCTTTTACTGTGTCCCACAGATGCGTTTGATAATGAGTTGATAGTCAAAACCCTTTGTGATATCATGGAAGGAAGAACTGTCCAGATTCCCGTCTACGACTTCGTTACCCACTCAAGGTCCGTTCCGACCACATTTTGAAGAATGTAAAGGAATAGTTCAGCAAAGAATGAACATTCTGCCATCATTTACTCACCATCATGTCATTCCAAACCCATAAGACTGGTTAATCTTTGAAACACAAACAGACTAAATTAAATCTGTTCATCATTTTAAAGCGCTTGTATTTCTTCACAAGACTGATTGATTCAAGACCACTTGATACATACCTTTTTGAATCTTCTAAGTTTTGGTTACCTGGACGTTTTTGTTTTTTTTTATAGGAGGGACAGAAACCTCTCTAAAAAAATATCTTAGTTTGTGTTTTGAAGATGAATTAAAGTTTGGAACGACGTGAGGATGAGTAGTTTTCATTTCTGTGTGAATGATCCCTTTAACTTATTACCATTGCATTGTTTCTATGTGTGGATATGTTTGTATTTATTCGAGTTTCAAACCACACACAAAAGCAGTGCGTAAGCAGCACATATTTATTTTGGAGCCCATATTCAGCGCCTGCAAGAAAGTAGCAGAAACACAGGCCAGAATGTAACTGCTGTTGATTTGCTTACATGCTACTTGAGCGTAGGGTTTCAAACAGGCCTTATCTTGATTTATGTCACATAATCTGTTTGTTCAGGTATTTCCTGCATCCTGATACACTTTACCTTTCACAGGAAAGAAGAGACGGTCACTGTTTATCCAGCTGATGTAGTTTTATTTGAAGGCATTCTTATGTTTTATTCGCAAGAAATCCGAGATCTGTTTCAAATGAAGCTGTTTGTGGATACGGATGCAGATACACGTCTGTCACGCAGAGGTGTGTGTGGACTTCATCAATGGATCTCAACGAATATTCATAATTCATTAGTGGTAGTGAAAGGATGATGTATTTCAGTGCAATTTGATTCATGTCAACTCATTCTCCTCTGCTCATAGTCCTGAGAGACATCAGTGAGAGAGGCCGTGACCTAGAGCAAGTGCTAAACCAATACATAACATTTGTTAAGCCTGCCTTTGAGGAGTTCTGTCTGCCAGTGAGTTTTACACTTTTCTACCATATATGATCTGTGTGTGTTTTTTAATTTATTTTTTAGTTATTTTATATAAAATACACACTCACACACTTTCCTGTGTTGTAAAGCTGAATTTTCAACAGCCATTACTCCAGTCTTCATTTGATCTTTTATAAATCATTCTAATTTGCGGATTCCGTGATAAATATAAATGAACAGCATTTATTTGAAATAGAAATATTTTGTAATGTCTTAAATGGCTGTACTGTCCCTTTTGATTTAATGCATCCTTGCTAAATCATTTTTTTTGAAAAGAAAATCGTACTGACCTCAGACTTTTGAATGTGTACAAATTCTTATACTTTCATTATTATGAACAACACTGACACAATTTTACTTAGTACTAACATTTTGTTTAGTAAAACTAAGTACTGAAAAAGTTGTAAAACAACTGGATGTGGTTTTTCCATGTCAGTTTCTCTGTTGTGCTGTTTGGCAAATATATTATAAATGGTCCTTTTATTTTTTTAATGTAAATGCAATAGTTAATTATAGAGAATATATATAAGGACCATTTATTGACTTGATTATTAAAACTGTTATTAAAACGCAGAGCCAATATTAGTCTTTCAGTTTACAAGAGAACATGTTCCTGGCATTTTGGCAAGAAGCAGCAGGTGGTGAAATATTTGCCCATTGGACATGTTGTTGTTGTTGTTGTTGATCATCATCTTCACTTGAAATTATTTTTTTCTTTCTCAGGGCTTCTAATTTTTATTTTTTTTAATCTGTTTTACTTTCAGACAAAAAAGTATGCTGATGTGATCATTCCAAGGGGAGCTGATAATCTGGGTGAGATTTTAAATGTTTATCCAAATGTGTTAGGCTTTACCATGGAAGAGAGAAGACACAAATGTTTTGGAACAGTTTATGATATGCATACATTGTTTTGAAAATAAAAGTTTTGAAGGTGCCAAGCAAGGCCGCTCTTCTTGTCTTGATATCTTGAGCATTCCAGCATGTTTAGTCTTTTCCCTACTTCTAGTACTACTGATTCTTTAACAACAAAACCAGGCGTGTGAAACTAGTGCTAAAAAAGTATTTACTAAACAAAGACTTGTAAATTACTAAACAAAGACTTGTAAGTCAAGTTTACATGATTTTTGTTCTTCCATGTTTATTTCTCTCTCTCTCTAGTTGCCATAAATTTGATAGTGCAACACATCCAGGATATTCTAACTGGTGGTTTGACCAAACGCTCGAACGGATACCTCAATGGCCACAACACGCCTCGTAAACGGCATCCCTCAGAGTCCAGCAGCAGGCCGCATTGACCAGCTCTCCATCAGGACGTCTGGGAATGCAGGGGAGAATGAATGTGTGAAGGATGGATGCAAGAGAAAAGAAGGATTGCTTGTGCATAATTAGCCAACACTGTATAAGACAAAAAAAATCATGAAAAATTTCAAAGAGACTGCCTTTTATTTCATTCTGCTTCTTTCTTTTTGTTTTTGGACTGGCTACACTTAGAGTTAGAAAGATAAATGGAACTTCTAGTTCTAGGATTGTTAAAGGTCAAAATGGATATTTCCTCTATTTATTTTAGCTTTTTTTTTTGTACTTCTTTAAGAGTAGGTTGGTTGACTAAAAGTGGGAATGCAGATAATTAAATGTTACATGACTCCATGGTAATGAGGATTGAAAAAATATTTTTAAAAAATTATTATTATTTTTACCTCTGATTCTTTTTTTCCTATCAGAAAGGACTACATTTGCAAATGTATTTATTTAAAGAACCTCTTTACTGGATGGAGGCCAAAAACAGTTGTTTTAAAATCCATCCTTTTTTTTTTTTTATTTGGTTGACAGTGATGGAATAAGTTTTTAGTATTCTGGCATTATTTATATGATGTCCCTCTATGATCAGTGTTTCTTGCAGAAGGGTGAACGTTTATTCCTCTTTTTCACTTGAACAATTCAGGCAGTGTTGCTACGTCACAACACGCCTCTCAGGGTGTAGTTACTACAAATGAAAACAATAACTCCCTTTTGTCCTAAAAGGAATGAGATGTTAATACAGAAGACATCAGAGACCACACCTCTAAAATAGAAAGGGCGCTAATCTGGCTTAATTAAGCAGAACTAAATTTGTTGTATGTATTCATACTCGGTTCTGAATTACAAACCTTGTACTTCTAGAATATTTACGGAGATGCCAGGTGATCCTCATTAAACATGGTCATGTGCTTTAAAACAAAGCCCAGTGGTTGATTGTGCAGCATTACTGTGGAGTGTTAGCATGAATAGTGATCTATTTGTCAAGAGATTTGTTCATATACTATGCACTCTACCCTTGACTCTAATAATGCAATTTGACACTCAGTTTATGACTCTTTAATTATACTTGTGCAAGGCATTTAGACAAATGGAGATGCTTACTTGAAAAGAATTCTCAGTCTCCTCATCTCTTCATCCTTTTGCGATGGGTTTTTTTTCTTCTCTTTTTCCCCTTAAACCCATTATTTCACTATTGTTGTGACTTAAAATATACACCATGATGCCACTTTGGTAAGTCTTTGACAAAACTCACCAAAGAGTTCATTTAGTTTTCTTCAACAAGATGTTTTTGTAGTCCGAGCCATGTAATTTCCATACGCAATACATATTTTCCCTTGTAGCTCAGTTTTCCTGCATCTTAGAGCCAGAGAGAAGCCATTTAAGGCACTCTGAAATCGTTCAGGGATGTGAAACTGAACAATCCAACCTTTAAATTTGACCCTGACTGTAAAATGACCCCATATATCTTCTATATATCTTGACATCTTTAACTTAAAATTGGTTAATCATTGATATACGAATTGTTCTTATTTAACATTGTTTGTAATATCGCTATATTTTATTTTCTGGTTGGCTTCATTCTCATTGCTGCTATGATACAGGGTGACTCATTTACAATCCTATGTAAAAATTCTAAATGATCAATTATTGAATGATGTGAATATTTATTTGATTGAATACGATCGTTTCGAGGATAATGCCAGTTACATTTAATCAGAGACGTCATTATTTATATCTGGGCCAGATGAAGAAAAAAAAAACATTTTGTGACTTGAATATTTATTTGGTTATCAAAGGCATTCTTACCCCTGGGCTGTTTATTTGGCCAAAATTGCATAAATTATTATAAATCTTTTGTTGACGTCTGGTCCTTGGTTTCGTTTGGGTATTAAATGTGTGATTCAATCAGTATGTTCATAGATTCATTTTAAAATTCTTGAAAAGAACCAGTTTAAAACCACTGCAACAAATTGTGTGCCATCATAAAGTTTTTGTATGTGAACTTACAGACGGTTCCTTTCATTCTCACGTTGAATTCCCTTCAATGTTACATTAGCTAAATATTGTAAATATTACTTTTCTAACCAACACTTGGTTACTCAAACATCCAGGATGTCGAAGATATTCATACCTCTCATTAAAGGGTTTTGATATATTAGCACAGATTTAAACACCAGCTTTTAAAATGCAGTACACATTACAAACATTTTTTCCACAATCACACAGTTCAGCCCTGAATAAAACCATGTTTTCATAACTTATCATCTCTATCTTACCAACTTGCACACCCAGTGTGTAATCCTACTTGACTGAAAATGATGCAAATACAGTACATTGTTTTTATTGAATTGTGGGATTCCAAAGATTTAAGCTGTTGGCATTGTTTAATGTGCAATCAATTAGTTTGGCTCCCACACTAATGTCTATAGCAAATATTGATTTTACCAGAATATGTGACAACCTTTATGCATGTATGTTGATATTAGAAATCCTAGTCTGGAACAGGTTGTCTTGTTGCAAAGAGGGGTGACTTTGAGGGGATTTCAAAAGTATGGTGTTCTGCATGATGTATCATTATATGTTCAATTATTGATGCCTTTGAATTTTGGTGCTTGCAAAAGGGGTGCAACATGCAAAGAAAGCCAAAACTGTATTACAATCAGAAAAGGTTACATGCTTGTGTTGCTGGACCAAACAAACTACAGTTGCAAGGCTTTAAAACAGCATTTCTGTGTCACTGCAATTAATATTAATAACACTTTATCTTGAACTGTTACTCTTGAAGCTGGGGATTGACTTTTTTGTTTTTTAAGTGTTTCTGTGCTTTAATAAATCAACGATAACTGTATCATCATGTACATGTGTAAAGAATTGCAGAAAGTGATTGACAGCATTGCTTAGTTAAATAAACGTTTTTGTACTCCTCATGTTCGTTGCCTTCTGGTTACCTGAGTACTGTTATCGCATTTGCTTGCATCAGAAAAAAAAAAAGACTTTCAAGAGTAAATCCCTCTCTTTTAAGAACTTTATTGCAAGATGGACAGAATTACACAATGGTTTAAATTAGAACAAAGATAACATGAATGCATACAACAACGCAAAACAGGTTCAGGGAGGTCATGATGTGCTTTTGGTCAACGCAGCATCATTATTCTGCGACCGGTGTTTGACGTCACACCGCGACCTGCAGTACGCATGAGATTCCATCGTTTCTCAAGCGGTTCATTGAAGGAAGAGTGCTCGTGCGGTCATTTACATATATAGGACCTTACTTAAATATCGTGCACAGATATGTCCTCGAGTGACTTTTATTTGAGGTACTATGTGGGCCATAAAGGTAAATTCGGCCACGAATTTCTGGAATTTGAATTCAGACCAGACGGTAAGTCAGGCGCCAACTTAGCTTGCTAATATGCTAACAGCCTTTCTGTTGATGTCTGTGCTTGCTTTTTTTTTTACTAGGCCGAAACGTTTTTCTTAAGCTATTTGAACTTTAGTTACTGGTTTATTTCTTTCGTAATTGTGAAGTAGAGAGGCTGTTTGTGTAGAAAAACAAATTAAAATGTTAGGTAACATTTGAGTTGCTTAAAAGTGTCACTTTAATATCTTAAGTCGTTTAATTTGATAAATAATATTTCTGCTAAGAAATTGTTTTTCTGATATAATATTTCAGTGACTGTTAAATCTTTTCATAAGAAGCTTTCATATAATTTATGGATCATTTTGTTTTCTTCCAGGCAAACTGAGATATGCAAACAACAGTAACTACAAGAACGACGTCATGATCCGAAAAGAGGTAAAGCCAGCTGCATGATGACGTCACATACATCCAATATTAGGTCATTTATGTTGAGACCTAGGCTTTGTATCTTATGAGAGATTTTCCCCCTCTTTCAGGCTTATGTTCATAAAAGCGTGATGGAAGAGTTGAAGAGAGTCATTGATGACAGTGAGATCACAAAAGAAGACGATGCTTTGTGGCCGCCTCCAGACAGAGTCGGGCGACAGGTTTGTAGGAATATATATTTTTGCTTTTATTTTTAATTGTATTATTATTGTTTTTACCCTTGCTCTGGTCACCACGTGTGGTTTAATACTCCTAATTGCATCCTAATTGCTCTTCTTTGTGCTGTATAGGAACTGGAGATTGTCATCGGTGATGAACACATTTCATTCACAACTTCCAAAATTGGATCTTTAATTGATGTCAACCAGTCCAAGTAAGCATATTTCATAGATGGATCTCCTCTTGTTCTCTGCTTTACTGCATTTTCACTTCAGCATTGCTGTCTCATTCTTGAAACCCGGCATTGCAGTACCACAAGTATTATTGACTCTTGTATGATAAATTGCTTGTGATGCATCTTATTTGTAAATCATTTAAGATAAAAGCATCTGCTAAATGATTTACTGCAATGTAGTTTTTTTTCTTTATTTATTCACTATTGTCATGCAGTTTATTGCTTTCCTTTTTCTACTCTCAAGCAATGCAGCACTGTGTGTTCTCTATATTATAAGAGTGGTAACATTTGTGATTTTGATCATCAGGGACCCAGAAGGACTCAGAGTTTTCTACTACCTGGTCCAGGATCTCAAATGCCTTGTATTCAGTCTCATCGGCCTCCACTTCAAAATCAAGCCCATCTAGCTACCCAGTTGCTTTTATTCTGGATGAAAGTCATATTTTAGTTATTGTTTGAGCTATTTTCAACATTTGTATATTGCTTGGTGGTTTTGCTTTTTTTTTTAAATAAATTTGTTCAACTGTTGATTCACTTCACTCTCCATTTCAGAACCTCTTAAACTGCAAAATATCTTTTCAGCACCTTAATGGTGATATCAATATTTGCACACTCTAAAATAGGTACTTTTAAATAGAAGGTACAATATATGTACACTACTAGTTTAAAGTTTGGGGTTGGTGAAAACTTTGTACTGTTCTTGAACGTCTCTTATGTTCACCAAGGATGATTTGTTTAAAAAATACAGTAAGAATTAATATTATTTAAAAAGATTTTAATATCTTAAAACGTAATTTATATCTTTAATGTAAACTGCTACATTTGTAGTCTTCAGTGTCACATGAAGCATTTCTTACTGTTGGAAACCGTTGTGTTGCTTAATATATTTGTGGAAAACATGATACATTTTATCTGGATTCTTTGATGAATATAAAATTCAAAAGAACAGCATTTACTTTTTTTTGGTAGCAATATACAAATCTTTACGGTTACCTTTGAATTAAAGATTACTAGAATCTCCCCAGACTTTTGAAAAGTAGTGTATGCCAACCTCACAAATGTTCAAATTTCGCTGAAATATTTCAGTCAGATATTTAATATTTTATTTTTTATTAAGCTTGTTACAATATTTACAATCAGAGTATTCATAGTTATCCACGTTTTTACATCTTGTAAGGCAAAGGACAGGTCTTTCAATTATTGTACATAATTAAACTGCAGAATTTTTCAGTGTATGGAAATACATTGTATCCATGTTGCATTGAGACAAAGATAATTGACTGTTGAAAAGTATAGATGGATTAAAGCTGCCTGTTGAACCTGGGGGGCAATACACTGCAAATATTTCAAACACAATACATTTCAGGACATCAGCATTTCACAGATTTACCTATAGCCCCATTACAATTACTAATTTTTGCTTCTGGATCAAATCACTTCAGCATAAGCTCAATACCAAGCAGTCACAGTTGTCTATCCACACAGTGCAAAGCTTATTACTAATACCTTCAGCCTTTAAATATAAACATGTTACACTGATACACTTGAGTCCTTATCTAATAAAAGTAAAACATAAATGTTCTAAATTCAGACTACTCCACCTACCAAGTGCTTCAATGAACTTCAACACATTAAGTGCACTTTCAATTAATGGGTTTTCCATCAAGTACTGTAAAAATGTCTTCCAAGGACTTGTGAACACACTTAAGGAACTCATGAACATTTCTGGCAGGGTAGCTAGACACATTGCAACCGATCCATTCATCATGGACACCATAGCCCACTCCGAAACCATCAGGCACCACCGGAGCAAATCCGCCCAGACTGACCGCGGGGCTGGTAAGAGTACTGGTGGAGAGAATGTTGTGGTTTATGGCGGTATATGCTGGATCCTGGTAGAGACTGTGCAGGGTCATTCCTTTTGAATTAGCCAGGTAGCGTATGGCAAAGAGATGGCGATCAAAGCCTTGACCTAGAAGAAAATGCACAAAAAATATGACAATGAAGTTGAGAGTGAACTAAAGATCTAATTTGATGTCCACCCTCCCTCCAAAATGTAAAAGGATGAAAATTCTGTCATCACCCTCATGTCATTCCAAACCTGTTTGACTTGTTTTTTTTCTGTGAAACACAAACAAAGACATTTTTAAAAAAATGTATTTTTGTCCACACAATGACAATCAGTGGGGTCTAATGCTGTTTTGGACCACACTAACTCATTATATGGACAAAAACAGCAGTTTAAGCATTTTTAAAAAATATCTTCTTTTGTGATCCACAGAACAAAAGAAAGTAAGTAATATCAGTTTGGAACAACCTGACAATAAGTAAATGATGACAGAATTGTCCTTTTTAGGCTAACTGCCCCTTTTTTCTTGCTCAATACTGATTACAAAAGATGTCTTGATAAGATATACATCAGTTTTGCCACCCTAGAATGACAAGACACCTCATGAATATGCACTAACCCATTGCTGCCTCTTTCGTGAGCTGCCCATGGTATTTGGAGCATTCATTCAACAGCCCCTGCAACTGCTCCACAGTGTGCTGTCCAGGCTGCTCAACGAATGCCTTGGCACAATGCTTTGTGTGAATGGTAGCGGGACGGATGGTTTCTGTGCGCCCGTGTTTAAAGGCTGCAGTGCTACACGACTCGTATGTGCCGACCGTCTGGCCGTATTGCCGTAGGAAGCCCATCTGGAAAGCCAGCTGAGCGATGGCATCTGGACTGAGCTTCTTCTTCTTAAGTTGCTCCTTTCCACCTTTCTTGAACTCCATGGCGTCGATGGTGAGCTTTGACACGGCGGCCTGGAAGTTCTCTTTTGCTTTTGTGATTCCAGCTTTTAACTCATCAGTGAGTTTAAACTCTAATTGGCACACCGCAGAGGAAGAGTCCACCGCTGCAGGCTGGGATTCAGGCCCGACCAAAGGCTTCTCCGTGGTGTCCTTGAAGACCTCATTCTGGAAGCGAAGAACGGCCACGCCGTCACCCCAAGAGTGCTCAAAATTGATGGCCGCCTGTCCGTCTTTAGCCAAGATGATACTGAAGGACTTGTCATACCACCGGTTGCAGCCGTCTCCATGAAGCATGTTGTGGGAAATGTGAATATGGTCTCTCATCACCTCCTCATCCAGGCAGAGGCAGAACAAAGCACTGTCTACTAAATGCAGAGCTTCTCCATTTCCAGCGTCCAGTAGTTTCTGTCTTAACCCTGCCCAGGTGTCTCTATTCTCACTGGTTAGAACGCCCAAGGGGAACGAAGGAGCTTTTGTGGGGTCCGATAGGATGTATTTCAAATGAGCTTGAACCTCAGCAGACTTTATCAGGTTGCCGTCCCGATCTAGAGCATCAAACACATACAGGTTGCCTCGCCTTACTACGAGCAGGTGGCGGCCCTTGTCGTCTGTGAGGAGCTCGTCGCGCTTGTACTTGGGTATACGTGTGGAGTTGAAGAGGCGGAAGTATTGGGACATATCCAGAGGATAGGCGTTCACCATGTAGGCTCCAAACCATGAGATAGAGGGGGGCACCCATCGGATCAACTTCTTGAAACTATCGGTGTCACTCTTGGCAGGGTTAAGATGAAACACCTCTGGCTCGAGTAGACCAGCACGAAGCGTCTTCATGAACCGGACGGCTGAGCACACCATGTTGGTGGCTCGCACAAGCTGGTCGT